ATAGAAATAAAGTGAATTAAAATAAAACTGAAAATTACCCGGTTCGATTCCCACAGACTGCCACCTGGGTCCCTGAGCAAGACCCTGAACCCCACATTGCTCCTCGGGGCCCGCACAATGGCAGCCCACTGCTCCCCAAGGGTATGAGTTAAATGCAGAGAGGGAATTTCTCCAAAGTGAGATCAATAAAATTCAGTTATTATTATTATTATTATTATTATTATTATTATTATTATTATTATTATTATCCCTCTAGGTAGGAAGTTTTCTATAGAATTAGACAAACCAGATCAGGCTGTGGTGGGAGCAATGCTTCTCCAGCTCCGGGTCCGACACAGAGCGCCACCTGTAGGCAGAGTTAAACCCCAGATGTTCCTGTGGATTTCTCCTCCTTACTGGGATCACATCACTATCTAGACATGAAAGATCTGGAACTTTCTGAGGAACATTGGAAGAACGTGGATGATGTGCTAAAACTACTGGTGCTCTGATTGGCTGAAAGATCTCACTTCTGCAGCAGGATGATGGAGCTGATGGGGTGGAGTTTGCTGCCACCTAGTGGCCACATTCATAACCTGCATCTACATGATTAGTCTAGCTGCCCTATGGAGGCCAGGCAGTGGTTGGTAGTTGAAATTCACTCACCTGTGAGAATAGTCTGAAAGGCCAGCTCAACGTTGGACGAGTCCAAGGCAGACGTCTCCAGGAAGGAAAGGCCATTCTTCTCTGGAAAACACAGAGAGGCGGCTTTAGGTTCTCTGCTCTGCATCACTTTGGTTCTGCTAGAACCACAGCAGCCGACTGAACAACAGGGCGGCCCAGTGGTTAAGGCGTAGAGCTTGGAACCCTGAGGATCTGAGTTCAAGCCCCTCTGCCACTCTGGGTCCCTGAGCAAGACCCTTAACCCCACACTGCTCCCCAAGGGGAGGGGTTAGATGCAGAGAAGGAAGTTCTCCAGTGTGAGATCAATAAAGTTCAGTTATTATGAAATTATTATCTGCTGTGAAAAAATCTATGAGACATTTTCTCCTGTAGATCTGCAGATGTAATCTGATTACATTAGAAAGATTAGCTCTGGATTAAAAATGGTTGATGACTGTAGAAGGATCCCTGCTACATGTCAGACTGTTCTATCCAACTGTCAGATTTTACAAACCTCTACTAGAACCAAGCCCAGCTGTGGGGCCCGGTTCCCCTCCAAGGCCCAT